ACTGGCAACATCACACTAACGTTTCACGTGGAAGAAGTCAGAAGCGAAAGGTCTCCTATCCCACGATTCTATGCATGTGCAATGTCCAGAAGAGGCAAACCCACAGATGAAAGCAGATGGGAGGCGGTCAAGGGTTGGGAGTGCAGAGAACAGGGAATGTCTACGAATGGGTGAGTACCGCATTTCCTTCTGGGGTGATGAAAATTAGATACCAGTGATATCTGCACAATTCTATGGCTAAAAAACAATGTGTGCCGTTGAAAGGGATAACCGTGTTAGTGTGTGAACAATATCTCAATAAACTTAAACAACTCTTACCCGGCTACCTTTGGCAGGAAGGCTGAGCAGGACAAAAGGAGGGAGAGCTCTCCCATATCGGCCCCAGTGTCGGTTCTCTCAGGTGGGCTGTCTCAGCAGCCCTGCTCCAACTCCCTTACAAGTCTCTGCTTTCAGTTTTCTTCCAGTCTCAGAGCCTGTCAGAGAGAGAGGCCTTCCAAAGCCTCCTTCAGACCCACCAGGGCATCTCTCCCACCACACCCTGGAAGAAGACTCCTGCTCCCAGCATTCTGGGGCACTTCCCCACTAGCAGGAAGCAGCCCCAGTCCTCCAGCAGCCATGTGGGGTCCAGCTGGGTTCATTTGGCCAGGCAACGAGGGTGAGCCTGTGCCTGGATCCTGGTCATCTGGTACACGGGCCAAGGACATACCTGTAGTGCTCTAAGAGGTCAGCCCCTAGCTCACCAGGCTCACCTGAGGGCTCTGCCCCATGGACACCTACCAGACTCTCCATCTCCCCAGGCATCAATCGGACTGGGCCTCCCTGAATGTTGGAAGATGCTTGTGTCTGCAGCAGGTGCAGCCCCATGTAGGATGAACAGATCTGGGGGGCCAGAGGGGTCCTCAAGGCGGAGGCTCCTCACACTTGTCCTTACCAGCCTCAGTGGGCACAGAGTTCACAGCAATAACCTAAATCAGGTGTTGAATTTGCCAGTTAAGGTGGGAGGAGAGAGGAGAGAGGCTGCCAGTCAAAAGGGTCTCCTCTTGTCCCCCGTGCAACCCTACGGACAGGCTGGTTGTCAGTGAGGCTCCAGGTCATGGAAGACAGCCTACACTCGAGAAGCATTAACCGCCAGCCACAGCTCTCTGTCTAAGTTCTTGCTGTTGTAAACTGAGAATCACATCTACCAGGATAACCAGGAACAGCCTAAGCACCCATCTTCTGGGAAGAGGCCACCCCGTCAGGAACACACCAGTGCCATCTCACCTGGACAGGGGCTGCTGGGAGCCTGGCAGCCGTCTGCTCCTCTCCAGGGCTCCCTTCCACAGGCCAAGCAGAGTCCTGAGGACACAGCGCTAAGGAAAGAAAAAGGAGTGATGGAGATGGCTCTCCCAGCCAGATGGTAACCCACATATCGTCCTGGAGAACTAGGAGGTTGCCCTGTCCCTACCCCCAGACAAGGACAGAGGTCCACTGGTTGTTACAGCTGCCCTATGGCTCAGAGGTGCGGAACGTGCTGGAGGGCAGAGTGTCTAGGCTACAAGACAGCTCTCCGAGAGGCAAAATCTGCTCACAGCCTCTGGGCCAAGCCAATACTCAGACGTCCTGTCCTGGAGATGTCACCGCGGCTTTTCCCTCCTTCCTCCCCTTCCCTGCACCATGAATCCTCTGTCCTGACGCCCAACTGTCTTCAGCATTGGCAGATGACTGCAAGGACGGGACACGACATGGCAGCCGATGTCTGGGAGGAGAACATAAGCCCTGGACTTACCCCAGGAGGCCCACGGGTCAGCAGCTGCCATGCCCCAGCTCTGCTGCGTAAAGGAACCTACATGGGAGGGTCAGGTTAGGACTGTTACCCAATACAGTAACTACAGAGGACATGACAGACAAGCAGATTATCTGACATATGGGCATGTACAAAAGCTCAACATGAGCGCTGGAGAAGGCACAGGTGGTCACTGTCAGGCACTGATGTGGTGTGGCCACAGGACAACTAGAAACACAACTCTTCAAAAAGCTGGAAATAACTGATAAAGGTAACACTATCTAATTTTTTTTAAATCTTAACAGACACTCCCTTACATCTTTAGTGAATGAAATTTCACTTTGGAATAAAGCACTGTATACATGGCTTTTAAATTACAGATCTACAGCAATTTGGTTGCACATACCAGAAAATCTATCACCAATGACCTAACCCTAACTCAGGAGTAACCATATTTTATATAGAAGCAATACCAACTTTTTTTGCCACAGCTTACCTCCTTGACCAACTAGCTAACGGCACTCACACAGGACCCCCCTCCCCAAACGCTCAGTTCCTCCCCGGCTGTGACTGGGGCCAGCGCAGCTCCTGGAAAGGTCCCAATACTCACCCCAGGAAGCCCATGGGTTGATGGCCGCCATAGTGGGGGACACAAAAGGAGCTGGACAAACCCTGGGCAAATGAGGAAACAGACACATCCGGGTTCTCAGGAAGGACACAGGCAACAGAGAGCCCAAAGAACAACGTGATTTACTTGTTAACAGCATGCCACAATTCCTACAAAGGGTGAAGGATAATTTGGATAAACTGACAGCGTGATTTTGGACTGGAGATTAAGCAGTGAGGTTTCCAAGGGAGAGCCAGACACACTAGACGGACCTTATCTACTGATCTGACCAAAGGACTGTCAAAGGCACCTGCAATCCTCGCCCGTCAGTGACCGCACAGGGCTCCACGTGTGTGCATGTGTGTGCACATGTGTGTAGGGGTGCGGGGTGGGAAGGGCTCTGGCAGGGAGAGGTGATGAAAACTTCCAGAATCAGAAAGTGACACTGGCTGTACCACTTAACCAGCATGCAAAGTAACAGGGCTGAAGCAGAGAATGTCCTTTCCTGCCCCGCCCTCCGCAGCCCACTGCAAGTCCCGCCAGGCCGGCCTGCGCGTCCCGGTGGCAGTCAGGGCGGGAGCTGACCAGGCGCCCAGCTCCAGGTCTCTGACAGCTGCCCCGGCTGCGTCCATGGCACGGCCCCGCCTACCCGCCCGTGCAAAGCGCCACTTGCCGCGGGACCTCTCGGGGCCGCCCCAGCCCTGCCCGCGCCGGAGGAGGCCTCGGGGTCCGGTCCCCGCAGCGGCCTCACGCCCGGACCGCAATGCACCGCAGCCCCGGCGAGGACGCAGGCTGCAGCCCCGGCGAGGACGCAGGCTGCGGGCCTCACCTAGTCGGCCGCCGCTCCCCACCCGCGCCGCAGGCGGCTCGGCACGCTCGGGGGTCTCTCCGCTTGGCCTTCTCGTGCTGCGCCCAAGTGCGGCCTGGCCGTGCGCCGATCGGACAAAGACCCCCTCGGGCCAGGCTCCCCGCGAGGGGCTCCCGGGGCCGGCCGGACGAGCCGACGCGCCTGGCGCCGGAGCTGGGAGGCCCAGGGCCCCGCGCCAGGCCGACGCGCCCCGGCCTGCCCGGCGCCCCGCAGGCCCTGGCCGCCCTGGCCAGCCGCCGGCCTCTCCGCGGCGGGGCAGCCGCAGCCGCCGCCCGCAGCCCCGCGAGGACCTCACCTCGGCCGCGGACAATGGCGCTCGCTCCCCCGGCAGCGACCAGGGCGCGTCGCGAGGTCTGCTGGGAGTTGTAGTTCCGGACGTCAAACGTCCGGTTCGGCCGGAAGCACCCCAAATAAATAGTTTGGGTTTGGACTATTTCTGATGTAATTTTTTGAGGACTTTTTCAATGCAATCCTAAATTTTTGGTCGATTTAGCTTTTCTGTGTCTTAGTCATTCAATATTACGTTTTCAAAGATTATGCCAGGACATTTTCCAAGAAAACTGCCCTTACATCTAAATGTGTTAATACAAAATGTACAAATTATTGATATTATACTTTTTATTTTCCCTTTTTCTTTTCAATGCTGCAAATAACTCCTTAGTCCCGCTTATGTTAGCCTGGAATTTGGTTTTCCATTTGCTTATCTTTCACCCTGTGTTCTCTGCTTTCACCTTTATTACACCGTTCCTTATACTTGGCTCATCTCTTTCTCGAACTTATTCTTGACGACTATATTTGATTCTATTCCTCCTTTTTGCTACAACAGGGAGCCCAATTTTTGAAAGAGTTTCTTATTTGAAAGAGTGAAAGAGACAGATTTTCCACCTGCTGGTTTGCTCCCCAAATGCCAGCAACAAAGGATGGTACAAATGAAAGCAGGATCTTTCAGCTCATCCTCACCTCCCATTGGGTGGCAGGAACCCAGCTACAAGAGCCATAACTTACCTCCCACAGAACAGAAATCTGGGATGGAAGCAGAGCAGGCACTCAAACCCAGCCCTTCTACTTGGGAGGTAGGCATCCCAAACAGTATGCTGACTGATACACCACAATGCTTGCTCCTTTGAAAATGATTATTTCCTTTTATTTGAAAGGCACAGACACGCAGAGAAACGTATCTTCCATTTGCTGGTTCTTTCCCTAATTGTCCCTAGCAGCCAGGGCTGGACCAGGCTAGAGCAAGCAGCCTGGAACACAATCCAGCTCGCCTGCATGGAAGACAGGGGCTCAAGTTTTGAGCCATCACTTGCCGCCTCCTGAGCTGTGAGCTAGCAGGAAGCTGGCATCAGAAACGAATCCAGAATGCAAACCCAGGCACTCTTGACATGCAATGCCAGCATCCCAAGTGGCCACACCAAATGCCCTCTGCCACACACCCACTTCTACAAAGTCACACCGACACTGGTGTCTTTTTTCAGTTTGTTGTGAAAGCAAAGCAATTTTGACAGTTAAAACAAAAGAGAGAGAGAGAGAGAGAGAGAGCAAGAAAAGTAATCCAACAATCCAACAGTCTAAGACTTTCACTAAAATTACCTACGTGCACTTCTGTTTCCTTCTAGGGCATACGTAGAGTCTCTTTTGACCCCATAAGGATAATGAATCCAAGGTCTGTGACCCCAAGGTCTTCCCCAAGGAATGGCTCCCCAGGTTTTCTGATGAGGGCCTGGGGAGACCACCAGTTGGCAGCTCCTGGTTATGCTTCATTCCTGCTGAGCCTGACGCCCATGCTTCACCCAAGCCAAGGTGTTCCTCTCGGGCCTCAGCAAGATGATGTAACACTTGGGGAGGAAGATGCCACCCAGCAGCCCTGCAGTAGAGGCCAAGATGGAGAAGACCTCCACGGCCACAGTATGCTTGCCCCGGGCACTATGATACAGGGGCAGGAAGGCTGTCCAGATGCTGCAGAACAGTAGCATGCTGAAGGTGAGGAACCTTGTCTCATTAAAGGCATCGGGCAAGCTCCTGCCCAGAAATGCCACACAGAAGGTGCCCGCTGCCAGGACACCCAGATAGGCCAGGATGCAGGAAAAGGCGAGCCCAGAGCCCTCCTGGCAATACAGGACGACCTGGCTGGGCTCAGAGGCCATGTCTTGGTCTGGGAATGGTGGGGAGGTGCCCAGCCAGGCACCACATAGAACAACCTGCATCAAGGAGGCCAGGAGGACCACGGAGGAGGAGGAACTTGGTCCCAGGCATACCTGGGCCTGGCCTCCTGGCCTGGTGACCCTGAACGCCAGGACCACAGTGAGGGTCTTGGCCAGGATGGAGGACACAGCCACCGTGAGCACGACAGCAAAGGTGCTCTGGCGGAGGAGGCAGGTGGCGGTGGTCGGACGGCCAAGGAAGAGCAGTGGACAGAGGGCACAGAGCGCCAGGGAGGTGAGCAGCGTGCAGCTGAGAGCCCTGTTGTTGGCTCTGACCACAGGAGTGTCCCAGTGCTTCAGGAACACCCCAAGGACCAGCACAGCCAAGCCAGCCAGCATGAGCGCCACAGAGGCCAGTGTGAGTCCCAGGGGCTCACCAAAGGCCAGGAAGGTCTCTCTCTTGGGCAGGCAGCGGTCTCTGGTGTGGCTCGAATACTGCTCCTTGGGACACGGAAGGCAGCTCTTCATGTCTGTGGGAGACACACACCAGCCCCAGGTCAGCCATGTGGCAGCCATGACCCCAGCCCTGTTGGAGGGAAGCCCCCTCCACACCGAGCATACTGACACGCGTTCGAAGCTCTTAGTTACCATTGCTGAGGTGCCCCACAGTAGAGCCCAATACGAGAGGGAAAATGCACACACCACATTAATGTGCTTGTAGTTGTTGCTTGTTTTGCTTTGTCAAGTAGTGGCAGCAACTGTCCTTATCAACAATTGCCATGAGCTGAGTTTACACACAAGGGTTTTTGTCCCCACTCTGCAATGGCATGGTAGAAGCTGTGCGGGAGCAGGGACCTCATATTCCTAAGTTCTTGTGGGTGTGCAGTGCTATAAAGAGAGCCAGACAGCAGACACAAGAGCTCTGTCTATTACAGACCTGACCAAAACTCAAATCCCACATGCTGAGTGAATGGATGAAGGCAGTTACCTGCTATAGGAAGAGGACTACAACCACACACACACACACCCCATACCTATATACACATGAGCACACACATGCCCATTCACATACATGTACACACACATGCACACACTGCCATAAACACACACCCACACATGCATGCACACCTCACACATGCACACACTCACACACGTATGCACACAACCCACCGCCACACACACACACACACACACCACCCCACAAGGCATCCCCACACCTATGCACACATGCGGGCACACACATGCACACACCCACATATGTACACACGTGTGCATACCCACCCTTCCCCACACTCACACGCCTCCACACACACACATCTTGGGATGAACCTCAGAAACTCAACATGGAGGAACAATAAGATGCAAAAGAACAGCCACTGCAGCTCCCTCTACAGGATGTTAACACAACAGGCAAACCCCCTAAATACCCACAGAAATCAGCATGGCGGTTCCCTAGGTGAGACAAGGGTCACAGTGGAGGTGAGGTGTTTGGGGACAGAAGGTCCGTCTCTGTTTCCTGATTAGGGAGGTGAAAATTATTCAGGCTGTACACTCATGATCCATGCATCTGTCTGTATGGAATAGTTCAATGAACAGTTACCCAAGAATACTTGTAACCATTATAATTGCATACAGCAATTCCTAGCCTGCATCTCCATGTCTAAATGTCAAAGCAGAGGCTGTTCAACACATTTTTGCACTGAGAAATGGACAAGTTCAAGGCACCTGGCTGGACCCTCACCTCTTTGGTCTGCGAACTGTCCCTCAGGACAAGGGCTGCAGTCAAAACAACACTGGGGAGCTCCCTGCTGGGGGACCTGGCTGAACCCTGGAGCACAACTTCTGCTGCAGACAGAGCTGGGGACCTGAGGATGGAGAAGTGGGGGCATGGTCAGGGCTGCAGGGCACAACTCGGTGAAGCAGCCTCGTCTCCTTCCCCACTCTGATGGAGGCTCCCTGGGGAGGAAGGTCACCTCAGCCGGATCAGAGAAGGCCAGAAGAGGAGGGGCTCCCCCAACTCACGTGGCTCACAGAGGCAAGCTCAGTTACCCCGCACCAACTGGTACCTTTCCAGTCTGAGACTCCTACATCACAACTGCAAGGTACTCCTGTCGACACAAGACCTCCCTCAGCCCATCCCCACCTCCAGGCTGCATCGCAGGGAGGAAGCTGAAGAAGAGAAGGTCTTTGAGAAATAAAGAATGTTGGCTCTTGTGATAGCTCTGAGGCATCTCCGATGAGATTTCTTTGAGGGCCCCCCCAACAAATCCGCTGAAATCATAACCCCAGCCATGTGGAGAGCGACAGGACCTGTAGCCCGACAATGGAGTACATCTGCCAAAACTGGACCACCTCAGTGGCTTTGATGGAGCAGCGGATTCCATACCCAGAGGCACATGGAGGATAGGTCAGACCATTGGAGCCTGCAGAGGACACCTGGTACCATAGCAGAGGACGGAGGGCAGAACAAATTGATCAACTACCCTGGTGAAGCATGACAGCAAATATCTGAGAGAATGGAGACTCAAAGGTGGACTGAGTCAACAAATGGACCTTGAGAGGATATCTTCCTCCTTGCATCTGCCAGGTCAACAGCATTTCTGAACCATCAAAACCACTTAAGCAGAACCCTTGGGGCATGCCCTGCATCAGGGACTATGGGATGACATCACATAGCCATACCCAACCCTAGGTGCTGAGGCAGTAAGGATGTTGCATGTGGCTTCTCCCCTTATCTCTTCCTTTCACCCAGATACAAAAAGAAAGAAAGGAAAATGTGGACACAAACGCCTCACCCCTTTCCCATGATCCTGGACGCTTCCCACCAAATGAACCATGTAAACATCTTGAAAAACAAAATTTTAAAAAGAATGTTGGCTCTTCTATTATCAGAAGAGTCACGGGCACATTGATAAGGACCCCAAGAGAATCCTATGTCCCTGTTCCATGGCCCTAAGGGCATGGCTTGATCTGCTTTTGGAAAGTGTTATGACCAACACTGAATGGGACAGAGGTTGGGGATCGGCCAACAACAGGTGAGGCTGAGCACAGGAAACTATGTGACCAGTGCTGAAGCTAGCAGCCAGAAAAACACACAGGCAGCAACTACATCTGTTAATAAACACAACGGTACCACCTGTTCTGTTCACACTCCAGACACCCACTGGGATACCCCTGGTACTATTGTCCCATTCTTCAAGGAACGGGTCCCTGAATAAGACCTGGAGAACACTCTGGAAGAAATTCTGGTTTAGGCTCTGATGCAATGACCTGCCTGGTACCATGAGAGTCACATCGACTCTACGTGACGGGACACAGAGCACTGACACCAAGCTTTTCCATGACCTTGACACACCACATGTGGAGAATGCCTGGCCCCAGAGAGATGGCCACTCTGTGCATGAGGGGACACAGCGCTGGATCTGAGCTCTTCCCTGACTCTGACACACTGTGGCTAAGGGTTGGACAGGCACACGGGTTGCTTACCTGCAGATTCTCCTTCATCAGGTGGACCACCCTATTCCCCGGAGGGGCTCTTGGGTCAATCACGCCTATGTGGACAAAGTGGAAGAGGCCGTTAGCAGTCTTCTGCCCATAGTGGATGTCAAATTTGGTAAGTAAATCTCCGTTGGCATCAAACTTGATCTCTTCCCCATCTGGGGTCCAGAAATGCACCTTTCTGAGGGGGTGAAGAAGCTGGGAGAAGGAAGAATGACATCGTAGAACTGCCTGGGCCAGTGCCCGGGATCCCTCCCAGCTGACTCAGGCCACCAACCACTGCAGCGAGCAGCAGATGCCCCCAAAAGCGCCAGCTCAATGACGGACGCAGCAGGCTTGTGATGTGTGCACAACCTCATGAGGCTGCTCTCATTTTAACTTCTTGCAAAATCAGAACAGAAGCTTGATCATGTAATAATAATCTATAGCAATGAAGACATCCCAGACTGTATTTACCATTCTATCAAGAGAGGCATGAAATTAAACTTTTAGTGTTTTTCTGCTGCAAGAAAGGGACCCACAAAACTCACAAGGCAGCCCTGACTCCAGCGACCGTTCAGCTGTGCACATGCTGAGTAGCATCTGGACCTGACAGGGCCACCCAGAAAGGCCCTGCCCACTTACATGTCCGGACCGCACGTCGCTCTGCCCCGTCACACAGCTCTTTTCATGTGTGCTGTGCTGATGCACCCACAGGTGCTGTTCCTGTGACCTGGCACCACCACCCTACCCTCAGGCTAATTCCTCTTCATCTTTCAGCTGCTTCCCAGAATCTTCCTCACTGAGCCTTCCCCTGACTTGCTCATTCTCTTCATCCACTCCCCATCAATCTATTCACTTTTACATCCCTTTACAACACAGCATAGATACAGCCTTTTATGCCTCGCACTCTGAAACAAAAAATCATGGGAACAAGCTCACACATACCCCGAGGTATATTCCAGCCCTGTCCTCCCTCACGTGCTGCAGTGACATCCTGGTGGCCCTGAGGACACTTCGGCAGCAGTGTCTTCCTTGCTGGGCAAAGCTGAGAAATGCGCCCTCATTCAGCTTGCTGGCAGAGTTCCCTCTGCTTCCTCTCCACCCCAGCTGCTCTAAATCTAACCTTGCCTTTCTTCTAACTTCTGTCCTCTCTCTGCTAAAATCCTGCTCTCCACTGCGTGGAGTGGCACACAGCGCATACTATGCTCCAGGCTCTCATCTAAGGGCTTCAGCTGTATGAGCTCGTGAATACTCACAATGATGCAATGAGGTGGAATTAACTGTAGCACTGCTTTACACTGGAGATGTAAGCCTGACCAATTCACAGTCAGCAGCAACTGCTCACCAAATGGAGGACAACCGCAATCCAGCAAGTTTACAAGGTCACCTCTATTACTAAGACCTTTGTATCATGTTGTCCTACTCTGAGGTGACTTTACTACAATTCACCATGCAAGTAGGGTTACCAGATAAATTAGAGCAGGCTTAATTAGATTTGAATTTCAAATGAAAGATGATCCTTTTTAGTATATGTAGACACCAAGAAATATTTTGGATGTACTTCTCCTGAGAATTCTGTGTTGTTCAGTTGAAACTCCCATTTAAGTAGGCATCCTGCATTCACCGAGTAGAGCAAGCCCACGTTAGCATGACTCACATGGGGTCACACAGCCCGCAGTTTCCCCAGATTCCTCGCCCAGTGCTCCTGCTGGGATGCACCCAGGAGGCCTCCCTGCTGACCAGCACTGTCTCCCTTTGCAGCCTGGACAGTGAGTGACCCACTCCCCACCTGCTCTCACCTGCCAGGGCTGGAGGTGCAGAGGATCAGCACATGCCCCCTCCATGTGCACACAGTCCTTCAGGGCCTGCAGGGCATGGGCAATGCTGTAGACTGCACTGTATGCTGCATCCACTTTGCTCACTTCCTGGAAGGGGTACTCCTTCCCTCGCAGGCTCTCATTCCCAGAGCAGAACCGAGCACCTCCCAACACAGCACTCTTCCCCGCCTGTCCCCTGCTCCGAGGCGGCCACTTGCATCCAAAAGTGACCTCCCAGAACCTCTCCAAGAACCCATCCTCTGGGGTCCGGCGGGGGTTCAAGCGAGCAAGGAACTCGGGGAAGCCAGATGCACAGCTGACCTGCTGCAGGAGGCCAAAGGAGCTGTGCAATACGCGGGAGGCCCCCGGCACAGCCAGCGCCAGTCCCAGGTGCAGCGTGCCCTTGCTGACCCACACCTGGCCTGAGATGCCGACGCTCTGCAAGCCCTGCAGCAGCAGCTGGAACTTGAAGTTGCTCAGGAAGACCAGGATGACAGTGGCCGTGCTACTGGCCATCTTCCGCACAATGGCATCTGCCTTCTCCAACGACTGCTGGGAGGGGACGTGCACGTAGAACTCAATGCAGACACCAACCTGGCCCAGCTCCTGGGAGACCAAAGAGCTGGCCTGCTGCCCAAAGTCATCATCCTGTGCCAGGATGCCCACCCAGGACCACCGAAAGTGAAGTACCAGCTGGCTTATGGCGTGGGAAGACGCGATGTCGCTGGCCAGGGTCCGCAGGAAAGATGGGAACTGGGTCTTGTCGCTGAGGCTGGGCAGTGTGGACGAGTAACTGACCTGGGAGGGAAGGGGTGCCACATAATGTCACAATTGTTCCACTTCCTGTTTGTGGCCTGGGAGAGCAGCAGAGGATGGCCCAAGGCCTTGGGACCCTGAACCCACGTGAGAGACCCAGAAGAAGCTCCTGGATTTGCATCAGCTCAGTTCCAGCTATTGGGACCATTTGAGGAATAAACCAGTGGATGGAAGATTTTCCTCTCTCCTCTCTGTAAGTCTGCCTTTCCAATTAAAATATATAAATATATATATTTTAAATTAGCCAAAACCAAAAGTTGGCACATGGACAAGGCCTTGGTTATGGAAATGGCAGTGGCAGACAAATTCCAGAGACCACCTGCCAAGTAGGGTGAAGAGCTGGTGGCATGAGTCCTATGATCTCAGTTAAATCCCAGTTCATGCATGTTCCACACAGGTGGACAGAATGTGCTCATCGACACAGTGGACATCACAGTTCTTTCAGAACAATCTCATGGCAGAAGGGAAGGGACAGGCTTTGGCAGCCCCAAGGTGGCACTACCATTGTCCTGGCTACAAGCACTTCCCTAGTCAGGGGAAAATGCTTCTGGATGACTCACCTGGGGAAACTTGTAGAGCCCCAGCAGCCTGGCCATGGAGACTGATAAGACTGAGAGTGTCTCTCCAATCAGGGCAACCCGGGGAGGGCTGGATCCGCACACATAGTTGGGGATCGGCACCTCCTGCCCGGAGAGGAAGCCCAGCATCTCATACATGCCTCCATGCACCGAATCCCCGGAGTTGCGGATGGAGAAGCCCAATGTGAGGTTGGGCAGCAGGCGGGTGTCCCTGTTGATCTCCTCAATGGCAAAGACAAAACCCTGGGCCACACGGTAGCCCCACCTGGAAACGCTGAGGGAAAGAGAAGGCCACGGGGGCCGCAGAATGAATGCAGGTGGTGCTTCCTGTGTGTGCACATTGTCAGCAGAAGTGCCCACAGACTTACCCAAAAACCTGCCCACACATGCACACAGAATAAACCAAGGGGACATGGGAATGAGAGGTGTTGGTCAAGGGGAAGAAAGCCCACTCTCAGAGAGAAGGGATAAGTGTCCACACCTACAGCACAGCACAGTAACTATAGACAGGGCCGCTTCACCGAATGGCTCCATGACGTGCACATATACTAAAACACCACTCTGCAGCCCACGAGCGCGTACGATCACTGCACACCAACTTCTGCAACAACCTGACAGCATCAAATGACTACAAGAGAAAGTCCCCTGCCCCTTCTGCTGGACAGGCAGGCACTTGGGGACACACTTTGGCAACATCTTACCAAAGATAACCACAAGCATAACAATTCAACCAAAAGCACTGTGCCAGAACGTCCGTCTTCGTGGACCCCCGGGCTTGGTCAGCTCAGGAAGAAATCTAGTCACTCCACAACATTTACTCATTCAGCAAATGCTCCAGCCACGTGTCAGGCACTATTCTAAACAGAGAGCTGGCCGTGAGCAAGAGAGACAGGAAGCCCTGCCTGCCTATAGGGTGCATGCAGCACAGACAGGGAGGAAGAAGCTGCCCTCGCTTCATACAGACACCAATACAGACGCCAGCCAGATGGGACCAACCTGGGCCGAGTTGGGGTTCTGACGATCAGCCACCACCCTCGGCCCCCCCGGGGGCTCCCCACAAAGCAACTGGGCAGCCACTTACTCTGAGGATGGCAACCCTGCTGGTGGGGCAGTGAAATCAAACAGGGTGACATTGTTGAAGGGAAAGATGGAGAAGCTCCCCCCAACTACCACGTCTCCAGGACGGTCGAAGCGGGGGCTCTTGCCTGGCAACCGCCAGCCTGTTGGCCCAGGAAGGGCTGCTTCACAAAGCGCTCCCACGAGAACAGGGAGCAGAGGGCAAAGCCACATGCCTGGACGGGAGCAGAGCAGCTGTGTGAGGCTGAGCCTGCCAGCAACAGGGCTTTTTTCTGGAGCTCCTCCTTGATCAGAGTCCTGGGGCTGAGAGGCCACCAAGTCCCAGGACCATTAAAAGTGCTACTTCATTCCCCTGGGGTCCCTCAAACCAAGGACAACAGCTCTGAGTGCTGGAGAAACCCAGGGGCAGGTATGCCCACAGTCCCCAGGTTTTTGCTCTGAAAAGAGCCCCTGGGAGGCTTTAGGAAGCCAAGAGCCACCGCCCACAGCCCGACCTCCTGCAACACCCTCAGGCCTCTCCCAGCAACAAGGTCACAGCTGGGATGGCTCAGAGATCCAGGTGGCCCTGGACCAACACTTCCTGCACCAGGGCCACTGACTGGAGGCTCCCAGGCATGTTCAGCCCCACGAGTGGCTTAGGGGCTGTACAAGTTGACCTGTGGTGTGGTTGCAGAGAAACTGGGACCTTGTTCATTGCTAGTCAGATGCATATGGCATAACCACTTTCAAAATTGCCTGGCAGGTGCTCAAAGCCTTAAACTCAGAGTTACCACATGACTCCCCACTTCTAGCCTTGGTACATACGCCAGAGAAATAACAGCCTATGACCACAGACAAACTTGCATGCTAATGAAAAGTGGAAACAACCCACAATGTCCATCAATGGATGAATTCATAAAGGGTACATGAAGAGATACATATGCACATATATATGCACATATATATGTTAGTGTGCATGTTTGTATATATCCTCAGAGTGACATATGATTCAGCCATAAAAATCAATGATCTTATGATATGTGTGTCAATTTAGCTGAATTTTGAAAATAGCATATCATGTGAAAGAATTATGACACGAAAGGTCACATTATGGTAAGCTTCCATTCACATGGCCACTATGATCTGCTGGTGGCTTATACTTGTCCTGTAGCACCATCACTTCCCCTGAGCCTTAGCCTACCCAGGCAGAGGGAAGAGATGAGTACCCACTGGGGATGCAGGGTGGAGTGTTTACTGGGAATCCCATGGACCCAGGCTGACCTGAAGAGGTGTTTGAAACCACCTTTTCCCTCAAGGCCTTGGAACCTAACTTGCAACCCCTCCCTCACTAGTCTGGAGCAGAAAGGGCCTCTCCTGTCCCTCCCTCAGACCCATGTCTTCCCTTTCCTAACCTGACTGGCACCCCACAACCTCTTTGCCAGCTGAGCACTCCTCCACATTCCCAGGCTGCAGCCCTTGCACACTCTCCAGCCCATGCACTTATCACTTCACTGTGGAGCTCCCACTTTTCTGCTCCCTCAGACTCTCTGTCACCTCAAACACACACACCTGCTCTCTCAACTAAGGACGTGTCTAGTGCCAGATCATTAACTCTCAGTGTCAGCTACAAATCCCTCCCAACCCTCTGTCCCTAGAACTTCAGCCCTGGGACAGAGCCCACTGTACAGTCCTGGAGTTAGACATGGCTCAGACATCCTACAGAAACACATGTCAATCCCAGTTGCATCCCAGGATCCCAGGACCACCACTGTTCTCCCCATGGGGTAACTCTGGCAGTTACCCTAACTCACACAACACCCAGTCAAGCTCTTTGTTAGTCCTGGCTGAGTTACAGCAAGCCAAGCACCTGTGGCGCTCCTCATGTCGCCCCATCATGGGCTCTCCCTGTGGGGTCTCCTGTTGCCATCTGGAAGACCTCGGTACCTCCCATCATGACTCTACCCTCGTGGCAGAGAAACTGTTGCAGCGTTCTTGATAGTCCCAGAGGCTCCCAGGCCACATTCTTCCCATCACAAGCAGAAGGCAGCCAGACATGGCCTTACTTTGTTCTGCCCCCTTCATTCTATTCTGGGGACTCTCCACTGTACTTTTAATTTCATACCCTGGCTGCTCCACTTCCCATCCAGCTCCCTGCTTGTGGCCTGGGAAAGCAGTCGAGGATGACCCAAAGCCTTGGAACCCTGAACCCACGTGGAAGACCTGGAAGAAGCTCCTGACTCCTGGCTTTGGATCAGCTCAGCTCCAGCCGTTGTGGTCACTTGGGAAATAAATCATCAGGCAGAAGATCTTCCTGTCTCTCCTCTTCTCTGTATATCTGATTTTCCAATAAAAATAAATAAATCTTTAAATATACATATTTAAAGATATATATATATATACCTCTTCCAAATCTGCCCAACAAAGGATACTTAAAGATGTTCACTTGACAGAGAAGAGCAATGGCACCCACCAAAGCCAAAGGCAAATGTGAAGAACATCCCAGTAAAATAACAACGGAGGACTAAATCAATTACAACCCATTACTAAAAAGACAGGACCAAATTGCCACCCATTCATATTAACCCTGAGTGTAAACAGATTAAACTCATCAATCAAACATAGATTGATGCACTGGATCAAAAAAAAGAAAGCCCATTGATTTGTTGCCTACAGAAGACATATCTCACCAGCAAAGATCAGTAGAAACTATATCTCATGGATTTTTTTTAAAAGTTTTTTAGTTTCATCTCTTCTAAAAACTTTGTTTCTCATTAAATTCTTCACTGACACATAGATCAGACAGTAGCATCAATTTCTTCAAAAATGTTCTTGCTTTTCTTTTTCATTTCCTCAGTGACACTTTAGTCATTCAGTAGCATGTTGTTTAATTTCATGACGTTTTTAATTCTTTTCTTCCTCTTGTGGATTCTGTTTTGTGTCTTTTCATTTGAAGGAATATACAGTAACTGTGTAATGGAGGCTATCATGTACAGTAGCATGTTACTTACCTTCATGGCATTGTAAATTTCTATTTTTCTTCTTGTTGTTGACTTTGTGTTGTGGCTTTTTATTTAAGGGGATGGATAGTAAAAGTGTAATGGAGACTGTCACATCCAGATGTGAGGATACATTGCAGTATGCATCTCTACTTCCAGATCAAAGTTGGATTCCCAATGTAACTGTTAACTATATCTTGACAAAAGGCTGCTGGACTCTTTGCCATTGTCCATGCCCGCAATGACAGACATATGACTGTTTATGCAGAACTCTACTATAATAATAACATAGGGGAACTCACGGGGTGGGTAGGGAATTTGGGGAGGGGATGATGGGAATCCCAAGGCCTATGAAACGGTATCATAGGGCCCGGCGCGGTGGTGCAAGTGGTTAAGGTCCTTGCCTTGCACGCCCGGGATCCCATATGGGTGCCAGTTCTAATCCCAGCAGCTCCACTTCCCATCCAGCTCCCTGCCTGTGGCCCGGGAAGACAGTCGAGGACGGCCCAGGGCCTTGGGACCCTGCACCCGTGTGGGAGACCCAGAAGAGGCTCCTGGATCCTGGCTTTGGATCAGCATAGTATCAGCCGTTGTGCTCACTTGGGGAGTGAATCATCGGATGGAAGATCTTCCTCTCTGTTTCCCCTCTCTGTATATCCGCCTTTCCAATGAAAATAAAATCTTAAAAAAAAAAAAGAAACTGTATCATAAAATGATAATAATAATTTGAAAGTTTAAAAATTATGAGACAGAAACCTCAATTCTTTATAAATTTCCCATTATAATATATTTTGTTATAGCAGCAGGAATCAACTAAGACATGACACGGCCAAAACAAAGAGATTAATACGGTACTATGAGTTGGTGTTTAAGCAAATAGAGCCAGAGCTCTCTTCTCCTTCCATCCTCCTCTCCACCTCTTCCTCCCCCTTCATCTTTGCCCCCCCCCTCTGCAGGAAAAAGGAAGAAAATAGAGCCAAAGAAATATAAACATCAGACGGGCACTGGTAAAGGAAAAGTATTGGCCATTTGCATAATTAGAACATCATTATCTTTAATTCTGTGCCTACTCAGCTTTTCAGCTTTGATTTCCACTTTCAGTATGAAGAAGGATCTGCAGACAGCTATTTTGTAATAGCAAGACACACATGGGGCATGCACATGTGCACATTGCAGTTTGTCATAATCGCATGAACAGTAGAAAAAGGTCTTTTCTATTTTGATTATTGCAATTTTTCTTTTTCACATGACTTGTCAATACATTAATTGCATATTTATTATATATAATATATTATGCAATATATGTATATTATATTGTAATTGTATGTGGTATGTGTCATATATAATTATTATTTTATATCAATAAAATTATTAATGAAAAACAAACTTACTGCCGTATGCCGACTGAGCTGTACAACTGCCTCAATTTTCAAATGCACATGTGGAACAAGTGCCAGAACGCAGTGCATGGGAGATCTCTCCACTGTCCCTTGGCTTGCTATGTCCGGGAACTGCGATTCTGAGCCATCATATCTTTTCTTATTTTTTAAAAAATTTATTTATTTATTAGAAAGTCAGATATATAGAAAGGAGGAGAGACAGAGAGGAAGATCTTCCATCCGATGATTCACTCCCCAAGTGAGTTCAATGGCTGATGCTATGCCGATCCAAAGCCAGGAGCCAGGAACTTCTTCTGGGTCTCCCACACGGGTGCAGGGTCCCAAGGCTTTGGGCCGGCCTCGACTGCTTTTCCAGGCCACAAGCAGGGAGCTGGTTGGGAAGTAGAGCTGTCTGGGTACGAACCAGCACCTCTGTGGGAACACTGCTGTGCCAAAGCTTAATGAAGATGAAGTCTCAGGACTGGCATGACTGGTATCATACGCTAAGCTTCCACTTGCGGCACTGCCATCCCATATGGAAGTCGGTTCCAGTCCTGGCTGCACTTCTCAAGCAGAGCCCTGCTTCTGGCCTGGGAAAGCACATTAGGACAGCCCAAGTCCATGGGACCAAGTTCCCACGTGGAAGTGTGGAAGAGTCTCCTGATTCCTGATTCATTCAGATGGTGGCGAATAAATGTATCTTCAGAAACTGTCCTCACACGGTGCACCTCAGAACTGTATAACAGAATGTACTCTGAGAACCATTAACACTCAGAACTGTGTAACACTCTGTCCAGGACGGCTCAGATGGGATCTGGGTGGTGCTTCACTTCCAGATTTCCTGCGTGTGTTCTCAAAGTCACAACCCCGAAGTTCAGGGCTCGGTTCCCACCAGGCAGCGCAGACACAGTGGAGTGTAGCACTTGAGGACTCGCTCCCC